TTCGATTTTGTCCAATGCCGGAGTCCAGCGACAGCGTGAAATAGCAGCCATTTCACAGGCACTTTAATGTTATTGAAAATAAATTGTTTTACATTATTACACTTAATTTGATCCCTACAATGTACCTCTATAGATCAGATCAGGTTGGTTTCAAGGAAGTACCTGTTAACATTTTAAAACGTTGTCAATTTAATATTAATACCACCAACAATCTTACCTGACTCCAATATTACATCTTTATATTCAGTAAGCTTGTGTTTTGTTATCCATTCTTTTATTTTGTCAGCATTCTGTTTTTCAAAATCTTTTGTAGACTGCCATCTCCACGCTCCCCAAAAACATAAAGACAGAACAGTTACGACGAGCAAAGTATGGTCAAAACGATCCATTACTGGCAGTTAATAGTAAGCACAATCCCTCTCAATTGGATTGATATAAATGTTACATTTCCCATTGTAAGAAACGATCTATGTTGCCCAGACCAAATAGTAAACAAGACTTCCGGGAAGACACCATCTTGTTAATCTTCTTACAATGTAGAACGTCACACACTTGACTTTAGTGGTCACCAGTTACCAGATATCATTAGTGGAAAATGAATAGATATTCGCTAAAGCAGAAACACAATTTGTTGATAACATTATCGACGTTTACAAAATCTATATTACATTGACAAGGTTTACAGACAAGCACGGTATGCCGCGGTCAACTATGTGTTCAGTGCAAATTGACCTTTGACCACTATGGATAGTTCTGAAGTTATCGCACAACGCGAGATTCCACACGAAGTCGAGATTCAAAATGGTGAGCATTGTCGCATGGGTTTTCTCCTTCTTACGAAATATCTATGGTTATTTATTTATTGGACGATATGCTGTATTTTTGTTTTCATTTTATAGGGTAAAGATAAAAGAACAAAAAAGTATGCCGTTATGAAGAGGATGATCTCTTCCCGAGATCAGAGAATGTACGTGAACACTCGTAGTCTACTATCCATTCATGTAAACACTGGGAGGGGACTGGGGGGATTGTTAATCAGAACATGGAGGTACCTCCATGATCAGAATTAGTTTCATAGACACCTCTATTGTTTTACAATGCACAATCATTGTGCCATTTTTTTTATCTCAACACCAAGTTTTCAAGAATTGAAGTAATTACTCGCACTACATAAATAAATTAAAAATTGCAATTTATTTAAAACGAGTGCATGATTTCCATGAGTACAGTCAACCATGGAACTATAAATAGTTTATAGTTCCATGAGTCAACTGAAATGGCATTAAACCAACACATGGACATGTACTTTACTATTCTAGCATTATATTTTGTACGATAATGTCTAAACGTTTCATTGGCATGAATTTATTTTACATGAAATATTTATAAATTTCAACTTGACCAATCACCTTAAGGTAGAAGCCTACCGTACTCATAAATTAAAAAAAACCCAGAATTTATTCATTTTGTAATAAATTGTACTCCGAGGCAATATAAGGATATTGATCTAAAAAAAGTTGGGGGTCACCAGCCTTTTTTTCGAGAAATTGATGGTTGTATTTTAGTGGAAAGTCGCCATTTTGACACTATTATAACACTTTTACCATAGGTTTTTATGGCAGAGATATTATGCAATATCTCAAAATTTAGCCTGGTGACATAGGCTGAAAAAATCATATATTGTTAATGATGGAGTACTTGTTGTTGTTCTGAATTATTTAAAAAATCTGGGTTTTGAAAGGTGTCAAAAAATGCAATTTTTCTTTAACATTGTGTTCTATGGAATTGTTCTAAAAATAGCAATTTTCAAGAAATATTAGGACACGTTTCTCAAAAAGAATAACTGTAACACACAAAATAATGCTATTTCATTGTATCATGAGACATTAGCTTCATGTTTGTACATAATAAACTAATGAACATTGTCAT